TATATCATATATAAGGGCGACCTCTAATCATGGTCTAGCAAGAGCTCAGCTTCGACTCAACGCTCTTCACATTTTCCCAAATGCCCAGGTCAGCGAAGGAAGTACTCGACTATGTCATGAACATCTTCTTCAAGGACAATACATGGCATGAAACAGCCGCTAATCTCAAGGCCAATCCCATTTTCTTTGGATCTGACCTCGAGCGACTTGCGCTTGGTGAAGACTGCCACGAGCTTCATCTCGCAGCTGCATCCATGGATTGGGTTGGAGATCTCCAATACGAAGCCAAGGTGGCCGAGTCGCTGAAACGGCCTCGGTTTACAAGCTCTGGGGACCTTTTGCGCCACCAGGGCCCGAGCCAGCGGTTCACGTTGAACATTCAAGAGGACAGCGATGATATGGACTACCATACCACAGTTCGAGCTTATGGCAGCCTGCTCTGCCAGAAGAGTGACGAATTGACCACTTGCGTACTGTATTACGAAGAAACGATACACAATACCTTTGCAGCACTCGTTGTCAGGGTATGACTCGAGGCCCCTCGAATGGGCTGTGGCTGAAGATGTGAACATGAAATAGCATTGAGATGTATCATCGCTGTGCTGGCTGGCACACGAGTTTCTGCTGGAACCGGTGACGGACGGCATCTCCCGCTAGCCCTGCGATATTTGATTGGGTTCTTGTACTGGGTCCTTGTACGGAGTTGTTGAATGTGAGCGGGTAGAAAGGTCTGCGAATTAAGAGAGACATGCGTCCCATAGAAATTCGCCCACAGAAATTCAACTTTGACTTGCATGGCCGTACCACGTGTCCACCGCCGAGCGAGATAAACTAGTAACCTGACAACATATGCAAGCTCATTGAGGCCGAAGTCAAGGGCAGAACACCAGCCGGCTGCGTATTTGCCCCGGACCGTTCGGACGTCCTTGTTGGCGTTGTTTGTCAATGTAGCGAACGGTGAGGACCCGATGGTAACCACTAAGAACCAGATACCCTTGTGCTTCCAGGCCAGCAAATAGAAACGCCATCAAAAAGGTCTTTGAGGCTGCCTGACCCGCGCAGAGACTCAAGACTGTCCCCTGATCACGCGCCCAATCAGTCGTGCCGCCTTAGACAAAGCGATAGTGTATTGATTGCTTCCTTCTCGGGATAGAAGGCGATATCTGGGCAACGAAGCCTGTTTGTTTGACATTATACATTGATCACCTGTTGTAACAGGGGCTAACAGCACGGGATCATCCCGGACAG